AGTACAGACATTTAGGTAAATATCCATTGATTTAAATCAATTAATATTAACCTAAATGTCTTTGCTTTTATGAATATTAACCTAAATGTCCATGCATTTAACTTAAATCAATGGATATTTGCCTAATAAATGTACAAAATTTTGTGAATTTTAGGCAAATTTAGCTTAAATTCATTGCAGTTGTTGCACATCTTTTGATATTATTTGAATCTGCTAGTTATAACTTCAATTTTGACTCAAATGGCACCCTATACTTTATGAATGATCAGTAATAGGAAATTTAACAACACAACTATGCATGTAGTTTATACTTAGAATTAATAAATTAACAATAATAGAGTCATGATTTTGATCTTGCAAGGCTTCCTCTTAGCCTAAAAAACCAAATATTATACATGAAATTAAATAATAATAAAAAAGCTGACCCTTTCTTTTGAAATTTATGCTGACTATCAAAAGCTTCAGAAGATGATGTCGTCTGCTGGTCAAAGTCTTGTGCTACTGATACAGCCTGTCGTAGAGACTTGATCTAAAATTAGAAAAGAACTCATTACTACTTCTTACAGCTATGGTATTCTCTCTCTCTCCCTCTCCCCCCCTCTCTCTCTCCCTCACCTCTTGTTCAAGTGATTCCTTCTGCTTGTTGTTGTTACTTTTCAATTCATTTGCCCGTACCATCTCCTGCTCCATTATTTGTATCACAGACGCACAATTCGAACACCTGACAGACAATCACATGACAGTCACATGATACGATTCACATACCACTGGTCTAGTTTATCCAGCATATTGTCCAGCTGCTCCAACTGTATGTCCCGCCCAATAAAGGAGTCGATCTCAAGCTGGTAAAATTTAATAATAAATAATTAATTTAATAAATGTATTTTTCTTACTTGATGATTGCTTTGATCTAATTTTGCATGTAAAATATTTCTGTAAATTGCCTCAATAATTAAATCCTAAATGATAATAATTAATAATAATAATAATAATAATAATATCTATCATACCTCTAATTCTCTAACATTATTAACTTCAAGTTCTTCAAGAAGAGTTGAATAAGAGAGAGTCTAAAACAGAAAGGGACGTCACAAAAAAATCTCACCCAAACCAGACCTCATCTTACTCTAT